CAAACGCACCCACTGCCCCTCCATCTCTGGGGGAGCCAGCGGCTCATCCAGGGCTTTCTGTGTCTCCTCTACATTGTTGGGGTGATCCAAGTTCCCCAAGGGGACCCAGCCTTTGATGCTCACGGTATGGGCACTGGTGTGACCTGATGGGATGGGAGCAGGAGGCAGCTCACACATCACTGAGTGCTGCCAGTGAAGGCGATCTTTGCAGCGGGATGTCTTTATCATTACCATGTGCTCTGGTTGGCAGGTTCAGCCCCCCTCCCACAAAGCAAGACCATTGCTGCTGGATTGGGGGTGTCACTGAGTGGGTCCCAGGGAGCCGTTACCCGCAGGAGTGCTGGACAAAAGCCTCAGCTCTTGTCACGGCACTAGGTCTCGGGTGTGTTTTCTCTGCCTGTAGAGCAACTTGATTTGCTGCATTAGTAAAAATAGATGGGCTAATGAATTCAGCTGATGCAACCCTCCGTGTGTGTGTGCATGCACGCGCTTATCTCTGTTTTTGTGTACATGTGTGCATGTATAAGTGCAGCTGAATGCTGAGGCTTGTGTATGGTGCATCCACCAGCTCCTGGGGCTCTGAAAGGGTAGTTGTGTGTGTGTGTGTCCATGCATGCATGGGTGCACACATACACACATGTGTGTGCAGGAGGCCGTGAGTGATGGCTGCTAGCTGCCGAGCAACTCGAACGGGGTGGCTCTACGGAAATAATTTTGCAGCAGCCTTGGGTTCTGACAGGGCAGTAACAGGACTTCACAGCAGTCTGGCAGGGCAAGAGGGAGACTGCAAGTAGCTGGAGGGGCAATAGTGGAGTCTCACAGGGACCTGGTGGGGCAACAGTAGGATGTCTTGCAAGGACTTGTTGGGGCAATGGTGGGGTCCCTTAGAGACCTGGTGGGGCAATGATGGATCCTCACAGAGACCTGGTGGGGCAATAGTAGGTTCTCCTACAAGGATCTGATGGGGCAGCAGCAGTTCTTCACAAGAACCTGGCAGGGTAATGGGGGATTGTCACAGGGACCTGGCAGGGCAACAGTGGATCCTCACTGAGACCTGGTGACACGACAGTAGGATCTCCTACAAAAATCTGTCAGAGAGATGGCGGATTCTTGCAGGAGCCTGTCAGGGCCATGGTAGATCCTCTCAGGATTCCACTGGGGCCAGGAGGTCACGTTTGGGGGCACGTTTTGCGTGTCCGGGCCGGGAGCGCGAGGCAGGGACGCTGTCCGCGGTGCTGAACGGAGCTGCTGTCCGCCGTGCTGAACTGGACTGGGGACTCCCACCCATGGCCAGTCCGGGGTCTCCAGCGACCACCGAGCTCGGCTGATGCAGAACCCTCCATGCCTGGCTGGCGCGGAGCTCGCCTTCAAGCAGGGTGGCTGCCTGATCCATCAGGTCTCATCCACCACAGCCTGGAGACTCAGCCCTGGCAGAGATGGGCGCTGAAGCAATGGTCAGGTCCCTACCTCTCTTCATTACAGTACAGAGATGGAGAACTCTGCAACGGTTTGACCAATCTGTGCCTTGCAGTCGGGTTTTGTCCTATTCTTCTCAGGATCTTCGTTGTCCGTGTCATGTTTGTAGTGACAGGCTCTCCGACCCCCTTCTTTCTTCTCTCTTCCTGCGTCAAATCCGCCCCCCACCACTGCATCATTGCTCATTGTGGATAACAAAACCCTCATGAATGGAGTGACTTCTCTGGCAATGACGTTTCCTGTGAAATGTGCACCCTGGAGTGAATTTAGGAGACTAAAACACTTTGCCCTTTGCGTTTGTCAGTTTTTCTCCCACTGTGGATTGGGAGCTGGCACTCCACTGCTGGCAGAGGCTTCCCCTGTGAGCTGTGGCTTGCGAGAGCAGAAGAAGGGTTGCCATGGGAGGGTTGCAAAACTGGGCCCTTCCTGTGGGATCCCAGAGGAAGGATGGTTGTACCAAGTGCTGAACTCTTCTTCTGATGGTGCTGTGGTTGGCCCAGCCACAAAATTCACAAACAGTGAGACAATGAGGAAAGGAGAAAAGGCCAACTTTCTCCTCTCTTGATGTTTTGGGGTGACCAAAAAGTATATGGACCTGCTCATTGGTTTGCTGGAACATCAGAGGGACTCTGTACCGGATCCTCCAAAGCAGACGGCTTTGTATAATCCTGTCCCTCTGTTCTCTCAGTGTGTTGAAGGCAGGACCAGGGGCAGGACAGGGTGTGTGCCGGGTGTCCCAGCATACAGCACCTCTCATCTTTGAGGTATGTAGTATTTGCACTTTGTACATTGGAGTGATGTGGCCTCAGTACTTGGTGCAGGAACCTAGGGGGCTGCTTGGCCGTGGGCAGGGGCTTTTCTGCAGCAGTGGAGGGTAGACCTCAGTGCTGCCCCATGGTACCAGTGGCAGAGGAGAGAGTGGTGATCAGACCCACTACCCCTCCTCAGTCTTTGCCCCCAGACCACCTGCTCCTTTTGGGGTGGTAGGAACCTTCAAATCCTCGCCTGCCTGTTTCCCTGGGGAGATGTGGCTGTGCAAAGCCAGCCTGCCCGCCTGGCCTGCTGCTGCCCATGCCCAGAAGGCCTGAATCTCTGGCAGTCTTTCTATTTGAGTGACTTCCCAGCTCATTCACAGTTTGGGATTTCTGTGAGGCAGACAGGCATTGTCAGCACCTGGGGCAGAGGGGACCTGGCTCAGCTTTCCAAGGCAGGACCGGGAAAGCCGCTGAATCCACTCAGCCCCCTCGAGCCCAGCCTCAGGGACTGGCCCAGGTCTGAGCTGGTTATAACTGTTGCCAACACCTCCCGCTGGCTGCATTTCAGTCCGACGACTTGTCAGCATCTCTCTTCTCCCGTGACTGTCCCCTTGGGCTCCTGAAGCCCCGGGATGCCCCTCTGCCACCACCTGCCCTCTCCCCGGGGGAAACCAGCATGCTGAACAGCTCTGGCTGTGGGCTCTGTGCCGGAGCAACAGCCTTTCTGTGCCACCTAGTAATTATCTGTTTGGATTTGTGCTGTACGGCTGTGTTAGACATCCTGATGCACATTGTGTTTGCTTCCCTAATTGCTGCCAACCACCGAGCCACCAGTTTTAAGTTTCTTCCTTCTCGCCCCTCCTCTTCTCTTGCTTTCAAGCAAATTTAACACATGTCCAAGCATCAGAGGCCCAGCTCCTCTGCTGGGCAGTGTGAGCACAGGCTGCAGGAGCTGTAGCCTAGCAGGGAATGGCGCCAGACTGTCTGCACAAGGCCTGCTTCATCCCCGAAGACCAGGCTCTCGCCATGCCGCTGCTGCCCGCACCATAGGAGAGGCTTCACCACCTCCCACTAGCCCCATCCTGCAGCCCTACTGGGCTGGGGAGAGAGTCCCCAGGAGGTGCTGCACCTCCATGGGTTTTGCCAGCCACGCTGTAGGCAGCTACCTGCACTCTTGGATTCTTCCATGATGCCTTTCAGGTGACGGCTCCTCTGCCAGGCTGCTCCAGGAGGGCTGGATGATGGCTGGATGCGGTGAGGGTGAAAATGATGGGCTGGGGGTCAGCAGGGGATGTAGGCTGCACCCTACTTGGCAGCCAGCCACCACAGGCTGCACGAAGCATGCTGAGAGCCTGTGGATCTGGGCCATGGGCATCACCGGCTGGGATGCTGCTCCCTCGGTGGCCCTCCATCAGGGCCTGGCCATCTCCAACTCAAGTCAAGCAGCTAAAATATTTGCTCTACTTTCATCTTGGGTCCAGCAGGTGCTGGTGATGGAGAGGGTCCTCAGTTCCCATCAGCCTCCAGCGGATGGATGTGCCAGCCATCTCTTGGGGACCACTTCCCTGTCACTTGGTCCCTGGCCTGGAAGATGGTTTCCCAAGCTCCAGCTCCTTGCCATGTCCATGGGGGCTTCCAGGAGGCCTGCACCTTCCAGCCTCCTGGCTCTTTTTCTCAGGGTTTGACATGGCACAGGCAAACAAGGTACAGGCAGGACAGGCAGCGCGCCATCAGGACCCAT